GGAACTTGATGAAAATTCCAAATGATAAGTTTGTAATGCTCTATCAGCACTTCAAACTTATATTTTGGGGCCATCTTTGTGTCAAATGTTAATAGCAAAAATAGTTTTTCTTTTATTCTCACAGCTTTTCCTTTAAAATATGAAATGGCGATAATATGCACACATTCCTTCTGTTAAAGGAATAAAATGCAATAATATTTGTGTATCTAAATGTAAATAATATGTACTATGTGAATGTGTTTTCATACGTCTCTCCTTCTCTCTAGTTTTATTCTAATTACTAAAGTAGTTTTAGGTAATAAATAGGTATAAAAACCAAATGAAAGAGAAAATCTCAATATTAAAATATAGTTATATTGAATATTACTTGGAAGCCTTATCTACAGTTAGCATTCTGATGTTTACCGACATCGGAATGAGTACAAATTCATCTTTTGTTTGGATTAAGCAAAATGAAGACTGCGCTGAACATGTATTGAATATGAAAAAATATTTAATTGAAATTCAATATTGTTAAGTAGATTAATGATGATGTAAAAAATGAAAATATAATAATAAAAACTGATTACGGCTCTGTTTATTGACTCTTGTAGAAATTTTTATATATTTATTGTTTTAAGTATATACTGGTTGGCCAATAAGTCACACAATTCACAATCGTGTATTACAGGGTCACTTTTCGGTAGAGTATTTTTTTTCACAGTGGGGTCCGAAGTAAACAAAAAGTTATGATTTGATAAATTTTTATATCGTATAACTTAATATTATATTCCATACACTCAATAAACAACTATAAATAGTAATAGTGGATATTATGCATAAGATACAGGTGTAGATTTTTCGAATTTTAATAAGAATTAGTAAAAAACTACGGCGAAAAAATGTTTACCTACGAAGGCGCACAGCTGTATAATAAACTACCCACAGATATAAAAAACATTACTTCTATCAATTCATTCAAATCGAAGCTAAGTGAATATGTTAAACAAAATTACTTTTAAATTCATTTCTTATAATTACTTTTAATTCATATTTCTTTGTTCACTTTTATTTTTAAATTTTTTGCATGTACGGCTATATTTTATTTGATTATTTTAAGAACGACTACAATGTTATGTTATCTAGAGTATTATTCTCATGTAAGTGACATTTTTTGTCTTTTTTGAGAAATAAAGTCTTTAAACCTAAAAAAAGTCAATTTTCTTATAAAAACGCTAAATAAATTATAACTCTAGGCAGGGGTTGAGCTTAGAGACCTCCCGTAGAACAATTTTTGCAGCTGATGACCTCATCTATCCCCTATTTGCGTTTGATCCACGACTTTTTGGCCACCCTGTATAGTTATATTACTTCTGGAAGTAACTAATTTATTTATTTATTTATTGTTTAAACTAAATTATTCACAGACTTAACCAAAAATATGTGTAATTAAATGACTTCCAAACATATTTAATTTTTTTTTATTAAACGTTATAAACTTATAAATACTTAATTGGCATGGTAAGCCATAAAATATCGACATTAGACAATGGCGCTACAATCATTTTAGGTATAGGCCTCATCTGTTTCGTGATATTTTTTCTTTCTAATACCCTATAAGGCCTCACGAAATTTCCTTCGCTGCACGAAGGTCCTACAAGAAAAGAGCGTACCAATTATTGAAAAAGAACACTCGAGCTAGTGTTAAGTGCGCACGTAGAAATAAAAATCCCTTGGACCTCGCTATAAAATTCCAATTTAATATAATATTTTGTTTTATATAATATTACTAGCTGACCCGACAAACGTTGTTTTGCCATGTATATTATTTTTAAGAAACATTGTTTTAGTTCAATAAAAATAACTTTTTGCTATAATAAAAAATAGCTAAAAAATAAATAAATAATAATAACATAAAAGAATAAAAACAAAAAAATGTGTCTAAAAATAATTTTTTTTTGGGTGGATCACTTAAGGGTTTGAAAGATAGATTCTTAGACTTACTGAATATGCATAAAAAATTTCATAAGAATCGGTCGAGCCGTTTCGGAGGAGTATGGGAACGAACATTGTGACACGAGAATTTTATATATAAGTAAGTATAGAGATATACCAAATCCCCAGAAATGTTTCAAATATCACTAAACTCGCATTTATTTCTGAGAAAATAAAACCATCTAACTAGAAGTACTTAAAAGAATAAGATTCTAAACGCTATATATAACAAAAGTACCTATTGTGTTTTTTTGCAAATGGGTATTGGCCTACCCATGAAAAATGTTTTGTCGTTCAAACTTTGGAAGACTATAACTATACGAGGTATTTTAATGTAACTTAACGTGAAATATTTTTAAATCTCCTATGCCTTTAGGTGTTTAAATAAGAATGAAATTGAATGCTCGAATCAGAATTTTTCGGTTTCCAATTCTTCTAGGTTCTAATATGTCATTCTTTTGGGCCTTAATTGGTTAATCATTACCTCTTATAATATTTCATGATCAAGAGATATTAATTTATTTTCATGAACCAAAATCACTGGTGGCGTCATCCATTATTGAAAAGAAGATTTAAATATTTTTATCAAGATAAGCGCCATCTAGTGATACATTTGATTCCTTTTTTAAATATTGAATTTTTTTACTAATAATAAGAACAATCTGAGTTGTTTCAAGCAATGACTTACAATTTGCTTAATTATTCAAACATTCCAGACACTCAATGTTATTAAATTTAAAACAAGACCATCGATGAGTCATGCGGTGACGTCTTATTTCCATGGGTGTAAAAAGAGACAATTATTTTATAGAGCAACACTAAATACCAAAAGTCAGCTGTCAGTGCAGGGTAGTGTCTGTGCTAACTATAAACTTTATTAAAAGGGACGAAGGACTAAAATCCTTGAAGAATTTGAGGCGGAAGTCAAGCAAATAGGTAGGATTGCCAATTCGAGTGACGTCACTCAAATGGAGCCTGCTTTTCTAAAATTACAAGAGCGATCAAGAAAAATCTAATACGGACGTTTACGGTCCATTTTCCATCAATTTTACAAAACGAAAGTGCCTGGAGAAGTGTGTGTGTGCTATAAATCTAGTTCCACTGAACTGTGAACATAGAATAAATATTTTTTTAAATTTAGTTACAGTTGCGAAGATTCCTTCATTTATTGTGAGTATTATGTTATTTCGATAATCTATTTGTGTTATCGATTATCTGTATGTGAATTCGTTTAACATTTTCATAATCCTATTGCGTTGAACATACAAAGTTTGTTGTCGCTAAAAATAAATCAAGGTGTATTTTTGGAGTGATTTCGTGATTTTGCCAGAGGCCCGGTAAGTGAGAAAGTGAATAAACAGATTTTGAAATGATCATGACTAAATGGCTTTGTATTCGCGTCATTACATATAAATTTTGATCATAGTATCAAATTACCTCACCTAAAAAGTCTCCAAAGAATATTTTTATGACTTAAGGCCACGGTTCGTAATTTTCTAAAATTCTCATGGCCTTGACATAGTACCTACTTTTAAATGGTTAAACTGGCTGCTATTTCATCAAGGTTGACATATAGCATAAGTCTTTACAAAAGTATCCAGATTGTCCTATTCATTGTAATTTACTGTCATTAATCATGAGGACTAGAATTAAAATGATTCATATGTTTAGTGTTCCTTATTAAATTAACCTTGATAAAAACTAACAATTAAATATGTATTAAAATATTATTCTACATAATATGTTGTTTACTTTCTGCATCTGTATCTTGGTTATAGCAACTCCTTTGTTTATTTGACATTAATTTTATTGATGTATTTTTAAAATTAATCAGAAAACACAACTTCAGACATTTTATTATATTATACAAATATACACATGTTAATATTAAAATGTAAGCAAGATTAATATTAGAATATTTGTTAATGTTAGATCTCAGTGGCCCAATATACAAAAATCCAAATTTTTATTAATATTTCCAGTCTAGCTAAGAAATTCATAGTCATGACCTTGCAAGCATTATTTTGAGTCTAATATTATATTCCGATAACAAAATTTGTAGCTACATCAATTAGATTTAAATAACTGTTTTAGAAAATAATTATAATTTAAAACAATCATATTAAATATTGAAGATTATTCAGTAATATGCTTATAAATAATAAACAGTTTTAAGTTTAGAGTAGCAGCAGTATACTATACATACTTCAAGTATACCCTTAGCATTTCACAATCATAGAAAGTGTATTTTTATTATTTAATATGTAAAGCACAAAAAATGGTCACCTTAATGTAGAACTGTATTAATGTTATGTCACTTGTAGTGCATTTGTTTCTGTAATATCTTCAAACATTAGTTTCTGCAGGGAAGCCTTACAGGTATTACTTCAGCTTAGACTGCAGTTATTACATAACTGTTACTTAACTGATTCTGCCCTCAATATAGGTTTTACATGAATAGTAGGTTTGACCTGTGCAGCCATTAGGTGGCATACACGTAAACAGAGACAGAAATGATCCTAAACATTCAAAAGTGAGTTTGTCTGTCCCTTTACTATTGTAATTAATGTTTATTCGCAGATTCTCAATAATCAGGAAACATATCCTTGATGGAGACATTATTTTAAGTGTAGTATTTATTGTAACTATTATTTCAAAACACAATAATAAAATATATATTTCCAATATTTTTATGACTAGATTAGCAAAACTCTCTTAACAGACTTACATACATACCTTTGATAATGTATTTAGTGAATTGGCTTTTAGCCAGTCCCTATATAATATATACTATTGTTTAAACTGCAAACAATTCAAAGCGTTAAAGCGTCAATCGGTTTGACGTTATTCATTAACAAAGGTTTCTACTGACATAATTTCACAAATGTAGTAGAAGCATTACATTATATTTTATTACTAGTATTAAAAAAAAACTGAATTATGTGACAATAGATTTCACAAAAATCTCTTGTTTCAGGTCCAAATGAAAATGCAAAGACAGCGCCCACCAAGAATCAAATAGAAAAATGCCTGTTGTGTCTCAATCCCGTTTTACCCCCACATCCTCCCCCATTACGGGGTGCCGATCTTCACTCACGTCCTCTTTAGACAACCCCTACTTCCGCAGTAGTGGAACGTATGTCACGTCAACTCTACGCCGTAGTTTTGGAGATCGAACTACCGAATTTAGATCTAAATATTCAGAAATCGACGGCAAGAGGGAAAGAAAAACCTCGCTAGTGGAGTATTCGAGGACATCCAGAGCACCAAGTGTGACAGACTCGGATAGTGGGATTTCGAGATATAGGACAGAAAGGAGTGAATCCAGATCTAGAGATGTGTCGACTACGAGGAGCGAAAGTAGCAGAACGAATGATGCTAACAGGTGAGCGGAATTGCTTTTATATGTACTGATGAAGTGGAACTTCAAACATCCTATATGCATGTCCTTTTGCTATGGTCCCTCAGCCAGGCCACGAAAGAGCACTCCTTGTTAGGCTGAAAAGGTTTCAGCGGAAGCATTGTTGAGATCGGCCCTGATGATTGTGTTATATCCACGGTTGAGCTTAAGGCGTGGAAGGAGAAGTAGAACGAGTGACGCAGCAGTGTCAATTTAAGATCATCCATAATCGATGAATCACATTTAATGAATTGTTACCCTTATTTGTTTTTCGAATTCGTATTGGTTTTGATAAAACAGCTGTTTTAAGGTGTCTCCACCAATTAAAACTGAAACCGACTGCGTAATATGATGAACTCGGCGCTGACTTAGCAAATCGATCGACCTTGATTAGTCTGAGTTGTTTTCATTTGCCAAATAACTGAATGAAACTGCGTTGCTTCTCAGGAAAAAAAGGGACGTCCTCAGCTCGGCGGCTCTTGCCATGTCGACCGCTGAGCTCTACAACAAATACTCGCCGGCTAACTATGTGCCGCTAACACAACGGATTCAAAAAGAGTACGAGATATCAAGATCTAAGTCCATTTCGAACGATATAGGCCGCCCTCCCGCTTCCGAGTTCAGAATACGAAAGCCGAGGACAGCCACCATATCCGAGGTAAATCAATATCTGTGCAAAGTAGATTTTACGAATATTAATAGAGAGAAACAATTCGGGAAAATCAGGAAAATGGTTATCATATATCTATATTCAAATACCTTTGTTATTACTTGAAGGAAATTTGGGGTGTACAATTTAGAAATACGAATAATTTTTAAATAATTCCAATAAAAGAAAAAAAAATAATATAAGTAAATGGTTACATTAGTCAAAAAGTATATAGGGGAAGATCTTACCCTTCGTACGCGGGGCACATTCATACAGTCAAAATAAAACTTGAACGAAATAAAGTACAGTCTTGCTTTTGTATGTGTGCATGAGTCGAGGTACCAACTATACATCAACGAAGTTTCGTGAAATTCGCACCGATGAGATGAAGTTACAGGCATAGACGTGTTTTCGCGTCGGTAAGTAATTTTTTGATCTATGTTTTTATCTCTTGTTACCGTAGATAAAATAAGTTTTCGTGTAGAGTATTCTATCAGTAACTAGCAAAATATACTTAAGATACGTCTCCAATACTTAATTTATGAAGTTTTCCTATTAATATTAAAATAAGTTATATTTTGTTGTTATTCAGTTAGTGGGGTACATTCGGACAGCACTAGATGGGGCACATTTGTACGAATGTACAACTAAATTTGTATAATAATTTGTCGACGCGAACTGTCTTTTTCATACAAATTAAGTTTTCGACTTTCTACATATTACACTACTGTTAAGGCATCTTGACTAAGGTTGATTTTGATGCTTGTGAACCAGATGCTGTGAATAATTTACCAATCCATCAAATAGTAGTTCCTTCGAAGTCAGTTTTGACACCAGAGGCATTTCGACCCTATTCGCATTCTGTAAGAAGTAATAAAACAAGCAAAATGACGATGACGGCCAGGAAAACCACGAATTTATACTGCCACACCCGAAAATAAGAAGTTGTAATCCACACCAAAGAGTAAAAAATGTAATTCTAAATTTAAGATACATAACTAATTAAATTTTTGTTTTACATAAGAAAAGTATTTTATTTTTGTTTAATAGAAATTAAATCTTTATTTTTGTGTTTAATTTCATTGCTAATAAATGAATTTTGAACTACCCCACAGCGTAAGAAGGTACCCCAAACACTGTACAGAAGGTGCCCCGTTGATGGGGCAGATTCGTACGTTTTCCAGATTTAGTTTAAATCATAATTATGGTTGAAACATCGGATGAAATCATTTGTCATTTTTTTATTTGAATCTCAGATAGTTAGACTATAAATTTAAGCTATCAGGTGATTGATTCATGGAAAAATAAAAAAATTAAAAAATAAAATGTGAAAACCGTACGAAGGGTCCCCACCTTCCCTATAAAGTCTATCACTTGTCTCATTCTGTAATAAATCTCACATTAAAGTTGTTTCAATGCTAAAAAAAAATATAAGATAAAAAAACAGAGTCAGCTGTATTATATTCAAGGACTGGACTAATATTCAAAGAATAAAGTATAGTACCAGACCAGTGATAGATTTAATTATAAAATGCAGGCACTGTATATAGTTGGCCACGTTTGAGCGTGTGTTGTGTGTTCATGTTCTTAACATCGCACTGAGCTATCCAAAATGCTTCAAATATGCCGTTTGAAAGACTATTAATAATCTTCACGACGTACAGATATGTATTTAGGATTATTTGCGAATGGGAACAATGATATATAAGATATGTATTTCTCTCAAAGATTTAGTTAAAGGGATTGCTAAGGGGTTTGAAAGCGATTGTCTTTAAAGCGACATAAGCAAATGCATTGTAGTAGTAACAGCAAATCAAATATTAGGCGCATGTGCGTTTTCTCTAGAACTAACACACAATCACACGCTATATCTCATTATTTACAATTCCATATTTTAAAATGTTGCCTATAAATACTTTACTTTTACGTTTAGAGATATAATGTTTCAATTTATTCATTTTATTTAGCTAGGAATGATTTTGAAATCTGACAGTTTCCAATAACTGAGAAATCAATTTTATTCCTAAGCTAAACGTGGCAAAGCCCTAAGTGTACATTTTCGATCAGAAACCGGAAGGAAGAAGATACAAAGAAACATCGCCCACCTACCCACCAATGTACAGCAAGCGAAACTCTATGACCAACGGCATAAAAGATACCAATGGAAACGAAGTGCCATCCGTTTCCGAAATACGAAAGAGAATCGACTCAAAAATGACAGTCACCAAACTACCTGCAAACGATCCCAAATACACCAACAACACTGTGGAGCAATATCTTAATAAGCTCAAAGATTGCGAAAATGGAACAAGCGGATATACAAAATACAACTCGAAAGACGACCAACCTGTCCCAATACATTTGCCGAGCGAAAAGAATGGCAGATACGAATCACCAACAAAACTTTCGGATATAACCATCAGCAAGACTTTATCTGAACCAGTGTCTTTAGCGAAACCGTCATTAGACAAATCCATCACATGTACCTCGCTTTCAAAAACCGATAAGTTGGCCAGTATCAAGAGTCAACTGGATCCTAATAACCCAATCGGGAAGATTCTAGAAAGATCAACGGTTATACAAACGGAGAATGGAGACGTAGAAGATAAGAGAAGTAGCCCTGAAGTTAGGAATTTGAAGAACGATATAGAAAAGCAAGTAAAAACGCCAAAACATACGTCGAATTTTGCGTCCTATATACAGATTTCGCAACCGGTGGCTTCAGGGCTTTCCCCGAAAGCAGATAAGAAGAAGATTAAGTACATAGATACAGAACTGGAAGAATCGCCGACTGGTTTTGAGAATAAGACCTTTGAACACGAGAATTATTTAAAGAAAAGATCGGAAAAGTTGGAAGATGGAATAAACTCTATGGAAACTAGTACGGAGAGCACGATCAGTGAGCCCACTGATTCTAGTTCCGAAACGCCACCCGCCCGAAGGAGGATCTTGGACAAAGACTATGATGATATCAAAACGGTGAGTCACACTAATGTTCACTAGTTCGTATATTCTACTTTAGAACCGTTATTCTTATTTTTAGTTTACATTAGATACATCTATCGCAGGTTATTAGTAGAATATATGGAATTGAATGCATTATCATTTTCACTAACATTCATTAATATTAAGTCAATATAATTCAGAGTCCAGACTTACGACTAATAATATCAAAAACCACGGGAGTCATGCTTAGTGTTAAGTTTCGACTCTGAATCTTGGCCTTATTTTTGGCATATCGCAACATTGATGACGATGACAAGAGACTCTTTAAACTATTTTGTTTGATACTGGTTTGACGCAAAATACATTCCAAATAAATAGTTTTGAATGAAGGAACTGTGCTTAAACTTAGCGCTACGTCTTCTCTCTAAATCTTATACTCGACCGTTCTTTTTAATAACTTCGTGCACTATATACATTAACTAGTATGTGCATGTAAAGTAATTTATTAAAGGTAAACATATCTTTTGCACAGTTTCCTTAATACAGATTAAGTTGGTGCAAATTTAATTTGTATAAGTCGACTTTACATTTGAAATGAAAATATTTGGCCACGCGGTATATTTAGAACGCGGAAGATGCTTCGAATCTAGATCAAAATGCCGGTCGCAGACTATTATAATATAGCCTAGCCAGACGTACTAGCCATTGTCATATCGAAGATTTACGTAGTGGTGATTTTTAATAAGCATTAAATGTAAATTGCTAATTTTAATTGATTTATTTAAATCGGAGGCCGAACAGAGAAATTGAAAAATTGCCATGTCAAATGAATTGTTCTATATATAAACAGCAAGAATAATTAGCGCCACGTTTGAGCCACGTGCGAATTGACAGTTGACACTGGTCTGCCATCTTGCGAAAAAGCCCGCGCTATTAGAGATTTTTTTCTTTTCGCCAGTGCATTTAAATTTGTGCGTCATTGACATACTTAGAAAGTTAATTAAAAAAAATTGTTTTAAGTGCATTACATTGAATCGAGATCTTGAAAAGGCTCCGTCTAAGGACTAAGTCGTATAATCAAACAAAATTATGCTGCTATACGCTAACCACATGTGAATGACATATGACCATTAGCAGCCATTTTGTTGAAAAGCCCGCGAGATTTACGGATTTGCCCCTCTAAATATAAAGTGCTTATTATTTTATAATTTAAGTAAATCTAAAGTATTTCATAGTGAAATAGGGTTGTAGAAAAGAGTTATAAGTGTTGGTGCGTACCAAATACAATTTGGCAGATAAACTAGGCCGATGACCGACTTTATCCCGAGTTGACTAATTTCTGCTGAAGATTCCTATTTTTATTCGACTTTATTCTGAATTATGAAGCCTTGTTACAAACTATATTTTCCAGATATCATCGAAGGTGTTGTTACAAATATAACTAGTCGTTGTTTGTGCATAGAAATTATCGTAGATTACTATTACGTTATAGAATGCGTCAGAACGACGAAGCCGCGACATTATTGTTAGAATCTGTAAATTTTATTATATCTTGTGCCATGACTTTGCATAACTTAATTTAATATAATGGACACATATCTGTGGAACCATTATAAGACCTGTATCCTGAATAAGCATGATACAATTGAGTGAAAAGATCAAATTATGTCGCCTTTGTAGTGTGCTGTGTGAGTGAATGACGGTCTCTTCTATGAAATAGGATTAAACTGACACACTGAAAAAGTCTATTTAGCATCATAAGTCCAGAGTTTATATAAAACCTTTATAGAACTACCAATTGTTTAACTATGACGTCTTATGACAAGTAGTAAAAAATAATGTCAAATTTTCTATGTTTACAAATGATTTTTTATTAATTTTGTTACGTTTTCGTGGCGGTGGTGAATGCGTTTTAATATTTTTTTTCTTTGGTGAATTTCCAAATCGTGTAAGGTATTTGTGCGAAATTAGCTTTTGATCTTTATATTCTGTTTTTTTGGTAGAATAAATATTTATTACTACATGTCGATTGATATCGTATCGAAATAAATATAGGCATCACCTAGATTCTAGAAGACTGATTCGCAATTTATGCTAATATAACTTTCACCTATTATAATTGGCATTCAGATAGCTTATCTCATAAGGTTTTCGGTGGCTTCTGGTCGCCATGATGATACTCACTGTTCCGTAGTGTAACTCACCCTGAGTATTTGCTCATGCCGTGGCAGCCTCTTTCGACAGCTCCTTTAATAAATACGGAGAGCCTTTATATGTTGGATAAAGAAGCTTACGATATTTGAGATTAGTTAGTTGCCAATTGCCTTTAATTAAATCTGTTATTCTTTTTATGAAGCCCTCTAAAGTAAAGATAGTATGTAACGTGCCGTGAAAAAGTTGTGCTTGCGTGTTTAGTCGTGTATGACGTCATCCAAGTACGCTATTGAAACGTTAATGTGAGGGCGTTGATATCTTATCATTATCTCGTTCACTTCGGTTGCTAGGCGCTTAAGTAAAGAGAAAATTGCCTTCAAACTAATGTTACTCCGAGGAAAAGTATACTACCTCTGAATACATTTATTTGCTTTGTTTTGAAGAGGTAATTTTGTAAACACGTGAGTAAAATCGCATGCAGAAGTTTATTTGTTGTATTCCGATAGTTGAATGTAACGATTTTTCTCGATAACGCCCCTTATTATCATTCAAATCATTGATAAATGCATTGTGAAATTTGGCAACGTCTTTTGGCTTACTACACCGGCGTCTGCCCAGTCGGGCCCGCGGCTTCGAAATGACCACATCGTGACGTCACTTTTCGGCGGGAATCGAAAATTCCGCCATTTTTAATCCGTGTATTACGTAATTATGCTTGAACTATGGACGATGACCTTGTCTATTTTCGCATATCTGTGCTTATTGGATTCTGATTCATGTGCTCCTTATTATAAACTTTATTTTTATTTGATCGAATGATAATGAAAGAGACAGTTTTGTTCAAGGTTGTGTGTGATTTGGGGACTTTTCGTGTAATATTGACACTTTGATTGAAACCCCGATTTTCTTTGCCCATTTCAAATTTTGTGATAAGGGCTACTTTCTCACTTAGATGTTGTGTAAGGAACAAAAAATATGAATAGAAAAGAGACTGTGATATTTAAAAGCGTTGGGACTATTAATTATATATTATATTATATAAATTATTAGATATTAGAATTTTGTACCGAAATAATTAGACATTGAGGATTTTGATTGAAAGCCAAAAGGCGCGGAACTTAATTCAAACGTGTAAACAAACAATATATATTATTCTGAACGAGTTTTCTATGAAACAAATTTAAAGTCTACTGGCAATCTTAGGGAACTAAAAATATACTTTTTAAAGACAGCGGCAACTAGTTAAAAAAGAAATTAATCTGAAATGAAAATCTATAATAAAAACATCGTAATATTGCGGTGTCAGTTAGTTCGTTAAAGGTTCTGAAACTCAAGAACACTAAGTTAAAGTTACCAGTCAACAATTTTTCGAGTTAATTTTAAATTACCTACTCTTAAAAGTACAAAATAATAACCGAAGTGATTTAGTGACAAAGTGAGAAATCAGAAGTTTTAACTTAATAGTGCTAAAAGCGTATTGTCAGTGCTAGTGATAAAATTAGTAACAAGTCGACTCCAATCAACATATGTTCTGGTACTTGGAGCTCGTGATACTAGCATGCGTGACTACGGGGATACTGTCTGCTTTGCGCAATGAGGTGTGGCTGCCGGCGCTGCTACAAACCTCGACCGGCCATTCCAAGAGTACCCACTTATGGCCTACACTATCAGGTAGACACGACATTTATAAACTTCAATATTCTCCATACTTAAATGGCATAAATTGTAAAAACAATTACGTTAGTCAAACGCGTTTTAATTTAATTATTGTTACAATTAACGAGAAAACTTATTTATTAAATATTTATACAAAATTTAATAGTAAATATAATGTTTTTGTCCGTGCGGCACGTCCAATAGTTTGCGCGTCTGGCGCTCGTCTGGGAGGTGACAGGCGTCGAATGTCCGGCGTTTCGATGAACTACCCTCGGATGGTAAAACAAAATATGTAGTTTGAAGCTATATTATCCCGAGCTGCCTTCTCTCTACTCCTTAGGATAAAGCCCTTTGCCATTTATATTAAAAATGTTTAGACCTAATATACTTTTTTAAAGTTCTTTCTGGGCTCTGATCGGCTACATTTATCTTCTTACATACATTATGATAAGACCTAGAGTGGATTTGTTATTGTTGCTTCAAGCTACATTATAGTGTTTTTCGTGTGCTCAGGAAATCATTATCTTTCATTAATTGAGCAAACTTAATTGAAAGAGACACAAGTGTGTGTCTATTTAACGTCTCACGCATCCAATTAACGCGTTGGTTTGAAATAAAACTAATACATCTACTGCAAGAATGTTAATCATGTAAAACCTTTTTTTTTAAACTAAAAGTGAAATTTCATTTTCGAGTGCTTTATATCAGTCATGGCTGACAAGATTCAATTGAGAACTTGCGCATAATCAGTATCAATAATTCTTACACAGAACCTAAAAGGTCTCTTTCGAGGTCAAAAAACATGTTTTGTTAATACAAGGTAAAGCATGAGTTCACCTGATATTTGGTAGAATATTTATGTGATCTTAAAATGTACTTAGATTGAGTTTTAAATAATACAGCTTAAGAGATGGTTAAAACTAAGTAAAAAATACTTGTTTTTTTGCTTACCAATTGATCATATGGTCATGAGAAAATAATTTCATTGTTTTGGCATGATGTAGCCTTTAGCTGGTATTCTTATGGACTTGTGGATGAATTCTTTCAAATAATAGTGTAAATTTTAAATTACTTTTGCCAAAAGCATACCAATTAGAGACATGTAGATCGCTTTAAGCTTTTGTGCCTTTATTTTGAGGTTGAACGCTGGAATGCTTCTGTTATTAATAAAATCGTGTATATATCCATTCGTTTCTGCAAATACGCTATCTAATAAGTCTGGGAAAGGGAACTTGACATGTCCATGCTAGTGAATGTGCTCGACACTCACAAATGGACAGCAAATAACGAATGGACGTGTACAAATTAATATAATTTTAATTAATTTTTTTATAAATGCAAATTATAGGAGTTGGCTGGGGGTAAAAGTGGACCGAGCGGCCTACGCAGAAGTAGCGAGCCGCAGACAGACCAACATTCCACTGCTAGTGGTGAGAAATTTTACAGTAAGATTCCCTCAGACTGATACTACAGATTCACATATCAAATATCAACATTTGGCGATTCTATAACTAAACTCTAACTCACTTTGCAAATGCATTGGATTAATGATATTTATATACTCTTCTTGCAGGTCTCAATGGTCTCCGCAACATCGGCAACACATGTTTCATGAACAGCGTGTTCCAATGTCTCTCGAACACTCGCCCACTGCTCGAATACGTGTCGGATGATAAGTACACGGCCGACATTAACACCACGCTCAGCTGTATGAAGGGCGCGTTGATCAAGGGTGAGTTGTCTTTCTCATTCTTTACATCTCTTTATATGAACTCCTTAGGACAAGAGATGGTCTGCGTGGTCTGTGTCGGAGTTAGTGAATGAATTAGGCTGCAACCTTGTAACGAAGGGAAACAGCGGAGTATAGCTAGTGTTCAATAATATTTATATTTTATATTATTATTTTTTTATCAGTTAAAGTTTTTGTGGATATGTGTGATGTGTTTATTTTTACTGTAAAGATATGTATCTGTTTAGTATCCTTAATAAATAAATAAATATTTACTATTTAAAATATAAGAGCCATGTAAATAATATGCAGTCTGTAGTTCTGTTCAATCAATCAATTAAAATACGTTTATTCAGTTTAGATGCGTCTTAGGGCATGCTTATGAATGTCAAAAACGTTTACAAAATTCGCGAAAGAGCAAGACTACGCCATCCGTTCGCAAAACTACCAGGAGGCCTTGTTCCGAGAAGAACGGGCAAGAAACTCAGCAAGTTTTACCCTCCCTCTACATTACAATTATTAACGTGATTAAAGTTACATAAGTAAAAAAAATATAAAAATCTGTTCTGTGATTTACCACATTCACCGTTACACACATATTTATTTATTTATTTATTTATTTACACTTCGTTGCTAATAATATAAGAAACACAATACATAAAAATTATAAGGGATGCAACGGGCGGCCTTATCGCTAATAAGCGATCTCTTCCAGGCAACCCTAGTTAAGAGAAAAACTAAAAAATAAAACTAAAAATAAAACATATTCACAACACTTCAAAGATAACAAAACAAATTATAACAATATAACTAGAACTATTGCCTCGCGTTTTTTGTTCTAGGTAATGTATTAACTGTGTAGTAACAGTAACCTTCAAACATTTTTGTTCATCTCTTTAAATAATCGCGGATATTTAAATAACGATTTCGATTGCAGCGTTCGCGAGCGTTATTAAAGAGCTGTGGCGCAGTGGGGAACGCGATACCGTCGTGAACACGACGTCGCTCAAGTCTCAGGTCCAACGTTTCGCGCCTCGCTTCATGGGATACAGTCAGCAGGATGCACAGGTCGGTATCTCTATTTGTTTGGCACCACGTTAAAAGGGTAAATGTAAATAGAAAAAACGGTTTCATCTAAGTTAAAGACGCGTAAAACTTTATTTCAGGAGTTTCTGCGCTACCTGCTCGAAGGTCTTCACGAAGATGTGAACCGAGTCACAATTAAACCCAAACCGATTTTGACAGAGATTGACGATAGTTTGAGGTAATTTTATCATATTATGTTACAGCCCAGGGTAAGCCTAGGTAATCAGCTCAGAGATCAGGCGTTTGATTCCCAGATTACCAATTATCATTCCATGAATGCCTGAAACCTTGACACTGAGGCATTCATTGTTTATTTTCATGTTCTAAACAGAAAATTGTGACTTGAAAAATTAAACATTAGAAATTGTATCTCATTGTTAAATGGTTCGTTTTGCTGAAAGTTTAATGGGTTCTGTTAACCAGGATATCTTTTTTGGTTCCGATATATTACAATAAACGAGTGAAGAAGTGGTCGAAACGTTTCAGCGACGCAGCAAAGGCGGCGGAAGCCTGGAACCGCTACCTCCGCATGGAGGACAGCCGAGTGGGAGACATCTTCGTGGGACAACTCAAGTCCACGCTGCGGTGCACTTACTGCAAACACGACAGCGTCACCTTCGACCCCTTCTGGGATTTGAGGTAATCCTATTTCGTATTCGTTGATGCCTGGCGAAGAGCCAATCGACTATTTCGTTTGTTCTTGAAGTTTGAATAGACCAATTTTTTGAAGTGAAACTTCTAGGCGCATGAGTAAAATTTTTACGAAAACGTCACGAATATGTGCAGCGTTTTTGTCGAAGGAAAGGGAGAGAGACGATTGAGAAAGGGCGAACGTAGCATAAAGCAACACGCTATTGGTTGATGTATTCCTTTAGTAATTACATATTAGAACTTTAGATGACAATTCTGTCGCATAACGTCTTGTGCAGTAAACGCAGATTTTTTATTTATTTATATTATCATTAGCACGTATACAGTGGGAATATAGATATACAAATACATGGAGTCATCATATACTGGTACATGATCATCTATTGGGGCTTTTACCTTTGTAATAGTTTTATAAATTAATGGATTGTTGCAGTCATAGAAAAGAAAGGAAAAATTAAGACATTTCGAGTGTCGAGGAATTATTATTATAATATATTTTAATGGAACATATTTTAAATATTGACGTCGACGTCGGCTCCAATATTCCAAGTTTTAATAGAATTTTTGGAATTTTCCTTTTGCAGTTTGCCAATTCCGTCTCGCACGGGCAATCTCAAGTTGCAGCAATGTCTTCAGCACTTTGTTAAAGAGGAAGAGTTGGATGGAGATGAGAAACCGGTAATTTTTCTATTTAATTGATTCTTTTAATTGATGATGATGTGTTGATAAATTCGAGATAAGGTTGCGTTGAGTATCATTTCATTTTTCATCATTTAATATTTCATTATTTTCAGACGTGTTCAAAGTGCGGAGTGAGACGGAAGTGCCTCAAATGGTTCACGGTCCAGAAGTTCCCGCAGGTCTTGGTGCTGCATCTGAAGCGGTAATTTGTTCTTCCCGTTCCTGTCACACTTCTCTCGTAGACAGATCGGTATAACTATACATGGCTCAAACCCGCAGTTTCTCCCCCACCGAGCGGTTCCGGGGCAAGCTGAGCGTGGTGGTGGAATTCCCTCTGACCGGCCTCGACATGTCTCCTCTCGCGGCCAACAAGACCAGCTCGGCCGTCTACAACCTCTACGCCGTCAGTAACCATTCGGGTGAGAGGCTTTGGATATATCTATTGATTCGTTTTCATTATATTTGTTGGTTAGAAAGTAATAAAAAAAACTCGTGTGCAATCACACGGGGTAGAAGTGAAACCTTCAAAAACGAAGTTTTTATAATTAATAATATGTATATCAAACTTATTACACTATTATAAACTTTTCTTTAAAAAAAAAAATTTAATGTTAAATTTTTAATTATTTCTTTAATTTGGTAAAAACTAAAATAATGAAAGTTGGAAATTCGATGAAATAAAAAGCGACAGTTAAAAGAGACAGGCACATAAATTCATTTTTGCACATCTATTTTTTTTTAATATAGATAATTATCAATTTAAAGTTTATACACTGTATAAAGCTTCCTATCTCATTTTCTCCTACGTTAAATCTTATGAATTTATGTGTCTGTCTCTTTTTACGGTCGCTTTTTCCGTTGCATCCGGTTTGAAATCACAACAATTCTAAAGAAGTTTCACTTCAAAATTGTCACAAAGTGAGACAACGAGAATTTAGAAGACATCTATATGATTGGAACTTTCAATTTGTATAACAGATTGGAGCGAACTAAATATAATTAGCCGATTATGATTTGTATTATAGGTGCGCGAGAGGCGAGCACCATATAATAAGTTTCTAGGCTAGGTAGTGGGAAGACAAAGAAAACTTCTTCACGTCTAAAGTATATATAATCATTACAACGTACACAGAAGGAACAAAGTTAATAAATGATATGAGTTGTAGCACAATAAGAGAAAAGAAAGCGTTAAGACAAGAATAGATTAATTATAAGTCACAAAGGGAGAATTCGTAAATCGCGCACGGGTTTAGCGTTTGAAAGTTCTGATCGTACTGTCCGCTGGTCGCGCTGCCACTGGCTGCAGGCTCCACCCACCGCGCCCGTGTCGTCACACATAGCGGTAAAATCACCGACGCGGTGGAAAAGAGAATCCGCCAGGACTGGCCAGCAGTTGGTCCAATGTCGTCTTTCCAAATCGTAGGTCTACCGGTCGAGACCCGTTCGCTCTACTTTTCTTGACACTTGCGAATCATCTCCACTCATAAAGAGTAATATGTGATATGACATGCATATTTTTATAAGAAAACTAGCTGACCAGCAAACGTTTGTTTCGCCATGTATATTATTATTTCTAGGGAACATTATTTAAGTTCAATAAAAATAACTATGTACCGTAATAAAAAATAGGGGTTGATCGTAGAGGGGTGAAAATTAAGGGTTAAATGTTGTATCATAAAAAAATAAATACAAAATTTGTTTCTAAAAAATAAAAATTATCACTTAGGGGGTTGAAAGATAGATAGTAGCCGATTCTCAGACTTACTGAATATGCATAAAAAATTTCATAAGAATCGATCGAGCCGTTTCAAAGGAGTATGGGAACGAACATTGTGACACGAGAATTTTATTTTTACGACGTATATTTGAAATCGCAGGCACCACGTACTCCGGCCACTACACGGCGTACTGCAAGCACCCGTACACCGGGGATTGGCACGAGTACAACGACTCCAGGTGAGTCCACATCCCGATACGACTAATTAAATAAAACCTCGCCCTTCAGACCTCTCACCCGCTTCATTATAATTGCAGAGTGTCCCCGATAAAGCCCCGAGACGTGGTGTCGTCGGAGGCCTACGTGTTGTTCTACGAGTTGGCCTCCTCCACGTAGCGAACGCCGCCTCCGCCCTGTGAGTTCTTTATTTTGTACTTTTCATTCGACGTATAGAGCTCTCATAACAAATTGAATGTGTTTCCAGAATGGAGTGCCGCAAAGGCGACGGCGGTCTGTCCTCGAGTCTGCCGTCTGCTGTGAACAGACTAACATTACACGTGTACCACATGCGACCGAGCTTTTGTGAACGGGCTAGTCCCGGTCGTTCATACATTTAGATCAATTTCCGCCAAACGACCCGAAGATTCCGCGCGCGACGGTTTAGCGTACGAATGTGCGGCGACGAGTCGTGGAACTGTTCAGTGACCGTGGAATAGTTTTTTCGTGTGGAATCGTCGGTGTTTTTAGATACATAATAGTCATCGTGTGACAGTTCTCATGTACAAAACGGCTGCCTTATTAAGTAGCGGATAGAAAGGGATGAACAAATAGTGATAGAAGTTAGTTGTAAAGGTTGCTTTCCTGTCGGCGCGACTCGACTACAGTCGACGCATTAGAACTGAGGCTTCGGGACATAATTCATATTTATCTGTCTGTCTCGCTCGCACTTACAGGAGAATGTGCGTAAGAATTGTAGAGATGCATATCGATAACGGGATAAGTATGGTCGATATGCTAAATTATGTTAAGTGTTAATAGGAATAATTTTTCGCTATCTAAAATAAAAATATTTATAAGATAAATGTCACCATTTATTTTCATCAAAACCACGTTAGTATATAAATTCTCCGTAGCGTAAATAATGCAATGAGTGTCATAACAAACAATCTTATATTTTAAGAAAAACAACAACCCTTACTCGTGACAACCAATCAGAAGTCAGAGCGCGTGCGCAGGTAGCTAAGAATCGATAGCGACATTTATTGCCCGACGACTCAGTTTAAAATGCGTCGACTTTAGGAGACGATTACATTAGGAAATAGCCGAACGTATTGATTTAGACCTTATTACCTTTGAGATTTGGTTGAGTTTTGCATAAACGCGTCGCGAAAGCGTTTGTCGTGTGTCGTACACGTTCGTCGTGCCTAATCATTTATACGGGGTGTTGCAGATGTTTCAAAGGTACATTGAACTAGAATAGGATTTTAATTTGTTAGTTCGGTTAAGGGAGGGTATGAAATGCAAAATAAATGTTAATTTAGTGTTAGTATAATTGAGCCAGAACTCGATACGACACGTTACTGGAATTGTTTTATATCGCTTCGAATACTAATACGATGTACCTTTCAAATATTATCGAAACAGCCCGTCCAGTGCTTATTTATTAATTTAGGTTAAATGTAAATATATCATCGCGCTGTATCATTGTTTTTGATAGAATTTTGCATTTCCTTGTATAAACTTGTATCAAAAACGGCGATTGCAGTATTCTACTTACAAATCAATGTTCGTAATTCACCAAATCATTTATCAGTTTTTGGTTATGTAATACATTCAATATCAGAGTCGGACGTTAAATGGACGCGCGTCTAAATTTGATAATGAAATTTGTGCTCCGTCCAATTTATATTATAAATGTTCATTCACGAGTAAATTATTTCTTGAAAATGGATTTTAATTTGATTTCCGTTCTAGAGAACTACATACTAGAGTATATCAAAACTATTAGTATCGTTTATTATTTGAACCTCAAATATATTCAGTATTTCGTTTACAAATACATTTAGACGCGCGTTTATATTGTAACAATATATAATACGCGACTTAGGGTCGAAAGCACATCGTAATTATTTTAACGCAAGGAGTAAATCTAGAACAAATTATTTATAAAATACTTCACGATTTTGATAATTCAAAGGTGCTTCTGGCCATTATCAACGGGTATAATATACCTGTAATATTAGAAAACCTGAATACTAACGGGATTGTATTATAATAATTAGAGCATTTAAATATTGTATATTGTTACATGCGTAATTCAAATGTAATAATAGAAATAACATTTATTGAGTGCCGTTAAAGATTATAATAAAAAGGGGAACTTGGAAAAAATGTCAATGTGTGACGTCGGCCGTCAAAGTTGACACTCGCCGCTCCGTTCGCGTTAACGTTAGTAGTGTTTCTCGAAATCGCATCACAATCTTGAATACTCGTAGTCCTACACTTTTATGTTACCTTAATGATAGTGCGAAAGTGGTTTGAAGAGGTTAAATTTTAAACCATCGACCGGACACGGCCGCTTTTACGCATTGTGTCTGAAGCTCTTTCTACGAGTAAAAGTTTTTATGGTTATACAAATTGGGAAATCATAAATTACGTCAGACAGAATAGTAATAGGTGAACTGACGCGGCGTCCGAAGCGCCCGAGGCTCGTGGAGTTTGAGTACGTCGGGCTTTTATTTGCAATCATGTTCATCTTCGCTACTTGCGTGTGACGATATTAGCCGGTACGAAAACGATTCACGAGCGATTTGAACGATGGCCGTTAGTTTAATATAAGCCTGCGTGATTGTTTTTCTGTTCATTTATGTTTTATAATTCTATTAATTGTTGATCGTTTTAATGATTTTGGGGACTTCGATAGGTGGGGACTTCGACTTTGACGGTGCCCGTTTAGGATTAATATGTTTGTTGTCTTTGCAAAGTTTATCATATTACCCTAGCGCGAGTTTTATTTTATTACATTTAAATCGTCTCGAATATATCTCAAAATGGCTGCGGATTTCGTTCTCTCCATTATTATTAATGGCACTGAAATAGAGAAACTGAGAAACGACATACTATACATTTTAAATGGATATTGAATGTCTTGTTCGTGTCGGTCTTGGTTAAATTTATACTTTTGAAGGCCGCGGTTCATGTAAGATAAAACTCACGCTAGGGTCAAAAGTTGGGGTCCCCAAAGTTGCAAAAGAATCTTACTTAGCCAAAGATTGTTACGAATGCTGTATTAATAATAATTTATTGTTCATTTTTGAAATCGCTGGGCTCCGGTCCATTATTGTATAATACGTAACAGATTATATAGATATATATTATTATTATATAAATGAGTAAATTATTTAATTTGTGTTTCATTTCCTCCAACATTTCTTTTATAACACATTTATTTTGGTAATAAAACACATGTAATAAAATTAGGGATGTGACATTCTGCATAAAAAATCGATTTTTTCCTAATTTTTAATTAATTTCAAAATAAACACCCTAAATATTTTATTTTTCATGGTTTTTTAAATTAAAAATAAACAATAGAAATTATAAACACAATTTAACGTTTAAGAATAATCAAAATTAACTTAATCTCGTTTTGATAGATTTTTGATAAATGCTGAGCGTCCTTTTCAGTAGCACATTGCAGTATTTTTGTTGTCGTTTTAATTGTATGTAGTCTTGTGCTGCTGAATAAATTTATTTTACTTTTATATTATAGTGTTCCATTCAAACTTGAGTTTTTGTAAAATTAACTGCTTTTATCATCCTTTTGATGTTTTACAAAAAAACATCAATGTATCGAGTATATCAATACATCTTCAAAGAATCTGATTCAATGTATCGCATTGTAAACATCGTTGTGTATCGAATATCCCTAATAGTTCGAGGTCCGGGTTATAAAAGACCAGACATACTGTCGGGAGGTGGCAGATAAAAAATCGATTATGATTGATTTTCAATTATAAAAATAATCGATTATTTTAAATTTAAAAATCGCGTAAAAAAATCGATTATTTTTTCACATCCCTAAATAAAATCGTCATTAGCCAAAATTCATCGCTCCATAAATACTTAAAATAATGATCCAAATCCCAACCGATCGTGTCAAAGAAATTATGGCAGGTCAGTGTGTGGAAAGTGAAAGTTGTATACGTTCGAACTAGAGGGCGCTTTTGTGAAATGCTTATGAATCAATAATATCACATGAATGAATTAGGATGGGTAAATGACCCATTCAGTCTCCATAATATATTATATAGATCATGCTGTCTCCTTTATTGGATAGCATATAATATGTATTATCAGGTTTATGAATACACTACATGCATTTACAACTGAATGGACAATGTTTGACCAATTTTACCGAATTCAAAAATGGCGGAGGTTCTCAAATTTGAATGCAAGTACATTTTTCAAACTAAAATAATTAATCAGTTTGAAAATTACTTTTTTGAATGGCTCCGAAGAATTATTCTTTCTGCTAGAACTAATGCAGTATCGATAGAAGATCAATTAATACGCAAATTAATTGCATCGCCACAGTGCCTTAACTTAAATTAAGGGCTTTTTGCTTTGTGTATAACCGATGAAACAATAACTGTAACATATCGCGATAATTGTACTTGGTATTTGGCTTGACATATCGTTTTCAAAATATTAATAAAGTAATATTTTTCATTAAACTGAAATCTCTTTTTTATCACTATACTGTTATTTTCTTTATTTAGGAAGGTGGTACAATAACTACAAATTTTATGAAGGCTACAGAGCTTTTCACATGACCAAGTGTATCTATAACAAAGAAATCCTAAATAGTGTCAAAATCAAAATCAAAATACGTTTATTCAATTTAGATGCTTCTTAGAGCATGCTTATGAATGTCAACAACGTTTACAAAATTCACGAAAGAGCAAGACTACGCCATCCGTTCGCAAAACTACCAGGAGGCCTTGTTCTGAGAAGAACGGGCAAGAAACTCAGCAAGTTTGCCCTCCCTTTACATTACAATTATTCAAAGGAAAATGTCATAAAGTGTCAGTCCTTTGTACCTTTGAATATTAGTTTGAGACGAAAAATCGATATTTTTTACTGACGTGAGCGATCACTCGTTTGAATTTGCCGCGTATGACGTAAGCAGCGACCTCTGACGTCACTGCACCCCACTGGATATGCCATCTCTATCTTACGTTAACACAGCTTACCAGTTAAAGCGAGACAATACGCGTAGAGTAGGTTGTGAATTAAGCTACTTTTTTCAAGAGTCAGGGATCTACAACTGTAGCCAATGATAATGACAGTGTTATCATTTTTTGAGCGATTTCTTTAGTTAACATTTATAATTA